AAAGATGAACCTTCCTAAAATGGTGGGGGAAAAGAGGCAGACTTTTAATTCTTTCTGGTTTTAAAATGGAAACAGAGATATAATTTAAAATGTAAGTTTAAAAATTCAGCAGTATATCTGTATAAACAAATCTTGCCTGTCTCGTATTCATCTTTGCTCTACTTCATCAATGACAGTAAGCTAACTGTAGATACACAATTAAGCTGGTTACTTTGGCAACATAGACACATTCTCACTTCCTTCCCAATGTCTACTGCTTACAGTAACGTGAATAAAAAATTGGGGGAAAATTCTAGTAAATTTGTTAGTATATTTCTGTCACTCATCTACAACATTAAATACTTCCCCTTTCCCCTTTAGGATGCTCTCATAATTTTTAAATTTGAAAAAAAAAAATCACTGACACTGAGGAAGAATGAACAGAAACAATCCAACCAGGAGACTCACTAATAAACTAAGTTTGCAGATTGGTTGGTCTGCTTGAAAATGGAAGGGATTACCCCCTCCCTTCCCCCATTTCCTTTTCTACATTTCTAATCTGATATTTGAAAAACTTTTCAGACTAAAAAAATAGTTCTCTAAACTCACAGGGATGGTGTAGACATTACTAAGAGGGAACCATTAGTGTGGGAAAAGGCCATCTTTATCTCAACAGAGAGACGTCGTGTCAAGCTAATTCACTTCTGCAAAAACTAAAAGAAGTCTGAACTGAACACAGATGTACCTGAAGGGAAGGAGGCTTATCATCATCAGTAGATGCTCAGGTCCCTGCCAGGCATTCGGAGAGACACAGTTTGTGTCTGGCTACCTTCTCTTTTTCCTACTTTTTTTGCAGGGTAATTGCATTCCTTCAAAAGGAGAGGACTGATTGCACACTCAATGCAATCAGCTTTCAGGCTTCCTATTTTCCCATCATCTTGGTTTCTCAGAGTCTTTCAGTCATTTGTAAGTTGCTGGTTCAGATTCCAGCAACTTAGGGGGAACTCAAGTACTTTAGATTAGAAGACTGCTACTCTCTTGTGTCAAACACAACTATTCATGGATGGATTTAGTTTTTGCAGTAACTTTTCTAGAAAACTTCTCCATTTGCATTATTTTGCCAAGTTTTTTTAGCTACTGCCTCTGTTTATTCATTTATTGTTATTATTACTTTCACTATTATAGATATTTTTTTTTGCCTTAGGCAAGCAAGAATGACTTTTCTGGATTTAAGGGCCTCATTCAAAATTAGGGCATTGAGGTATGCCTATGTACTTACCCACAGATAGACAAAGCAAACAAGTACACCCATACTTTATTCCACATCAGGATGCACAAGGCTACTGGGAGAAGGAAATGAGAGGAACAGATTTTGCTCTGTGAGCGGGAAAACTTAAAGAACAGCCAAGGGCTGCAAATGCAACTCAGGGGCTTCTGCCTTTTTGTGAATAAAAGAGATCAGCAGGACATGCCCTTCACTATCATCGTTCCTTCAGAACGGTTTAGATCCAAAAAGGATCGTCCAGCAACAGAGATATTGACAGCAATCCT